TGGGCGGAGCGCAACTCCGCGTGTAGAATAATTGGATGCGGCAGAGCTCTTAGTCACAGTTCAAGCGTAAATCCTTTCTGTTTAATCTGCTATAATAATTTATTAGCTAGAAAGTTTGGGCGGTTAGATAACCTAAATGAGTAATTTTTAAGTAGTTTCTATGTTTCTGCGGTGACGGTTTTAATGCCGAAATCATTGCTTATTGATCTTAAGGTTTCAGACTGCAGTCTTTGAATTATATCAAGGCTAGATTTTGATGTTGAGCCCCAAATCTGGATCCGGTACGTCCAAGATGGCATATAAGCATATTAAAAGGTTAAAGTTTGGTTTTTTCTAGACTTAGTTTGGACTTAGAGCCTACAATCCAATGCAAGTTCGCAATTTTTAATTTAGTTTGTGTAATCTTTTTGTCCATGTGGTTTTTCCAGTTGAGTCTTTTATCCAATGTAACTCCCAGGTAGTCAACGAATTCTTTATGAGGTATTATATTCCATTTAAAGAAATTGAAGGGCAAGTTCAACAGACAATTTATTGATTTTTTTCTTTCATCTCTTCAGTTAATATCCCTTACAATTCTCTAAACATATGTATACAAATATCTATTTTCATACTTGAAATCCAGCATCATTAAGTATTTCTTTTAAGCATGAAGAAAAGGTTTTGGTATTACAAATTTAACTGGAGTTTAAGTTCGAATCGATTTCTTCGAAATATATGTAAAATTTGTTATACAAAACTACTGTAAAATATATTAAATTTCAGCTTAAACACTATTTCCACTCCAACTTAATTCTTTAGCTACTATTATTAATGTCTGGGAATGGTAATATGATAAACTATAACTAAGTTGCACAAAAAACTCCAAATATAATAAAAAAATAAATATTTTTTTCGTATGTAACAGGTCTCTGCTAATTCTATGTTAAATGTCAAACAACAATCAAGACGGACGATACCCATCAGATATCACATGATAAATGTACATTCCTTAACAACACTCAACACTCAACTACTACGCTGTTTAATCAAAATTAATTAACTCGATCGTATTTCAGGACACCAAAAGCATGTCAACTTAAATTACTACGTATTTAAAAGAAAATTGAAACGCAGTACCAGTAATCAAGCAAAGAAATGACAGGAGTATTTCACACCACTGAATCTATGCAGTCACTCAACCGCAAATACTATGTTAGTAGACATTCTCCAGAGAAAAAGAAAAACTGCGACATTAGAAATGTAAAGGTGATACGTCATACCCTGTTTTGCCTTCGGCCATCATTTATTGCAAAATTAAGTATGGGAGAATGTCTATATACAATTATTTGAGGTTAATATACAGTGGATTGCATAAATTAACGTACGTCTGTGTTCGAAGAGTATTAACAAAGCGTTCAGTTTTATTTTAAAAGAAATCGGCGAAAATTCTGAAATGAAAGTCATCAAGTTGGATAGGAAATCACTTAGAAACAATTCGACATTCAACAACAGTTCAAAAGGTATTTAAAGCAAGAGGGTGCAGGAAGATTTAATTAACCAGAAGCAACGAGAATTTCATCTGGACTGCGGTATGTACCATGTAATATTTGGTACGCTGAAACACTGCTGTATGTGTGGAAACAATAACGAATGTTCAGACGGTCTTGATTTACAAACTGTGACTTTTTGCAGTTCTCTGGACCGGCCGGACAGAAATAGAGGAGGCGCTCCAACGTTCTGCTCAAGCCTGTCTTACAACACTTCCTGCAAGTATCACTGATAGTAGGGTTTCGATACTTTTTAAATTATAGAAACAAGGTGTATACATACTTTTGTCGTGCACTGTACATGTAAATAAGCGTTTGTATATACACACATCTTTATATATATAGTGAGTTCAATGAATGCACTGGAGGATTATTAAAACGTCAACAACCACTACAGCTGGCGATAGGTACGGAACTCCTCACTGTGTTCTATTTCAAACAGTGGGTGGAGCGAGTAGTGCCGCGCAAAGTACGAGTGAAATCGAATTTTTTAAACGCAATAATTTCAATCCTTGTAGTACTTTTCAAATAAAAATAGTCATCCTAAGAATATTTATAAATAAAACGTTGAGCATTAGAAGCGAATAATTGTTATTGATTTCTTTAGCTCTTGCTTAACCTAAAAAATAGTGTCTATGTCGGAAGGAAAGTAAACAAAAAAGAAAATAAGAAAACTACTCACAAATTTAAACTTATGCGTTTATAGAATGACATCATTGCTACATTTAAGGCGTAACGTTTTATTTTCGTTTTATGTTATGTTTTCATGTTTTTTTCTTTTTCATGCTTTTTCGTGTTTTGCCTCTATTGCAAACATCAAAACATTAGACTACATACATATTTACATACACGAACATATATGCGAAAAGTAAACTACAGACATATACTTATGAACATTTGACTGTAAAAGATACAAACGACAACAAGGGCAGCCCATTCTTTCGTGGAAGTTAGCAGTCAAACAAAAAAAAAAAAAGGAAATAAACGAAAAAATGTTGATGGAACTAGAAAAGCTCAGGCTTTTTTCTTTAGCTCTTCATATACCGATTGTTATCGTCTTATTTTGAAGTGTTTTTTTCTGTGTGGCTTCTTATGTGTAATTCGTTTTTATTGCCTTCATGTTTTTTATGTTTTATATAATATATATGTGTGTGTGTTTTTAGCACCACTCTTTTACTACGTCGTAGTTTCAAATGTTTGGGGAGTGTTGTTTGTGTCATTTTATGTTGTTATGCCGACGAAGGAGACATAATTAATGCGCATTAAATACCACTCGATGTCGTAATAGAACTGATTAGCGAGAGATGACGGATGGTGAAGAGGAATTATTAGAATCAAAGCCCCATTCCAACTTCAAAAACGTTTCAATGGGAAAAGGAAAAGCTATACCCCTCCCATCGCTTCACCGAAGCTTCCAAAATGAAATAAATAAAATAAGGAAAATATTGAACTCTCTGCACTCTTCTCAGTGCGATGAGCATAGTGATACGGCACCAGAAATCTATAGAGCTAGGGGCATGTTGGTGCCAAATCGAATACTGCGATACTACAAGTGGAGGACCACAATGAAATTTGTTTGAATTTTTCATTTATATTTCTACAGACAATGGAGTATCGTGAAAGCTCAAAATCAGTACGCCATTTCGAAAAAAAAAAAAAATAGAAATTAAGACCCGATTTGTTTGTACAAAAATCCATTTCAAGTGAAATCACTCACCGCACATTAAAAACACTTTTATTAAAAAAAAAAAAAAAAAAAAAAAAAATAAAAAAAAAACAATTAAAACAATAAATACAAAATNCAGACAATGGAGTATCGTGAAAGCTCAAAATCAGTACGCCATTTCGAAAAAAAAAAAAAATAGAAATTAAGACCCGATTTGTTTGTACAAAAATCCATTTCAAATGAAATCACTATCAAAAAAGTCAAACTTTTGTCAGAACAAAATTAATGAAAAAAAAAAAAAAAAAAAAAAAAACAATTAAAACAATAAATACAAAATTTTTAAAGTAAACTCGCTTCACTTGAAGAATCTTGAGACCTTGCAATGTTCTTAATTTTTTTCCTAAAAGCTACTATTATAGCCTAGAATATATCCAGATCTCGAGCACATACAAAAAGTCCAAATCAAAGATTTTTTTTTGGTAAAACGCTGGCGCAAGTGAATTATACCTCAGGTAGACTTTTTCGAAGGCGACATAATAGAAATTTATGAAGAATTGCATATTTATTGAGAAAAATTAAGATTTTTAATAAACGTCACATATATTATTTTAACGACGATAACGATCGATCGATATGGTCAAATAAATAAATTTCTTATTCCAAACAAAAATTCTCGTTATTTTTTGAACACATCTCGCGCGTTTTTATGTACATGAGAACTTTTCCTTACCAACAAAAATAATGTTGAACTGTTCAAAATAGCCAATTGAAGGATTAAAATTTCCATTTTAGTAGCTTCAAGACACTAGACTTAAGCCATCGGCTGGCTTCAAGATATAAATTTTGGCGAAATCTTTCAAGGTTCCGTCTTGTGAGATAGATTAAGTTAATTTTCGAAAGTTTTGCTAAGTAAAAAGCATATAAAAATACACACTCAATTACATATCTAGCCAAATATTTGAATATTTTCAGTGTAGAGAAATTTTCAGTAAAAAATTCCTTACTAAATAACAAAATATATCAAATTTTGTATGAATTTATTTAAATACAATATTATGATTTGTATATTTTTTTTTGTTGAAATTAAATAGTTTAATTCCATGCATAGTTTTCAACTCGAAATGGAGTTATTTACAGAAAGTATTGTAGTAAAATATTTCTAAAATGATGAAGATAAAAGTCTATAGATACAAATTCCAGAGACAAAGAAGTGAAATTGAACTGAACATGCAAAAAGTAAAGTTTTTATTTGTCGATGGAGGAGGATGTGAGAGGAGACGAATTTATTAAAGCATAATGTAAAAAAAAAAAAAACAGAGAATAAATAATAAAATGTCATGAAACTACTTTCACAGCCGTCACTTGGAAATGTAAATATGTATTATAAATAAGATTGATTTATTGCACTGATGAACGTATGAGTGAATCAATGTTTATTCAAAGCGACCACTGTTGTTGGTGGTTTTCTGTGCATGAAATGCATTGAATGATTTAGAAGCCAATTCAGCAATAAAAGTGCATACAGATTTTGATATGCTTTTAATGAGATGGATGAGCTCATCTCTAATAACAACATTAACAACAACAACAATGCTATTTAAGAAAATGAACAAAATCGAACGAACGAAAGAACAAACAACAAATGCTGCTTTTAACAGCGTTAATCACTCACAAACGATCAAATAGAGAAGAAACATTTGTTCATTTCGTTCGTTTCGATAGGTTGATTGCTATTGAAATATTGAATAATGTACTATCACAAGACACACGTAGCACGATGCAGTCAAACAATTGGCAGTCCGACTGACCTTTTCACTGATGCCGTCGGCGAAGTTGCAAACATCACAGCCGCGGCTGCGGCAGCATTCTTGCCCGTCGTCATGTCCAGTGATAATGTGCGTGGCATTACACGTCCACTGTTGCTTTTTTGTTGCTGCTGTTGCTGTTGCTGCTGCTGCTGCTGCTGATGGTGATGATGATGCTGCTGCGCAGTATCCAGGTGCGTCGTGCTCGACGACATGCTGCGCTTGAAATTCGCACTCACCGCTTGATCGTAACTGTAAGACATTCTAATGGACGTTTGTGCGCCACTCACAGCGATTGGCGTTACAGAATCTGGTGAGCTGCCATAGAAGGGCGAGTATAGATACGCGCTGCTGGTGGGGCTAGCGCTGTGTGCAACATGTGTAGGCGAAATTGGCAGTTTAGGCGTTTTCTGACCACTCGGCAAATGCTGTGGACTATGACCGGCGCTTAATGGTATAGGAATGGCACGACTGGTTGGATAAATGGTTGGTGAGAATTGATCGATTGCTTCATCTTCATCCACATCGTCTTCATCATCGTCACCGGCGGCGGCTGCGTTGTAATTTTGTGCATTTGGCAAAAATTTATAGCGATTATGGCCCAAGGCTAAATTTGTATAGATATTAGTGTCGGAGCGACCCTGTATCCATGGTCCGGATACAGTGCTATTCTCCAGCTCGTGCGGTGAAGCGCTTTTCATATAGTAAACTAGTTGATCGGTTGGTATGTTGTTGTTGTTGAATTGATTTAAACTCATATTGCTGCCACCGCCAGTGTTATTCAACAGATATATAGCCCGTTCATTGTTCGTCATATTGAGCAGTGTAGAGATGGCCGGTGTTATATGCGGTGTACTGAAGGCGCGTTTGCGAGCACTACTATGATGATACATGGCTTGCGGGAGGCTGGAATCGCTGTAGATTGTTCAGCGTTTTTTCGTTGTTCGATTGAGTCGCAAAATTGTTTGTTTGAGCATGTGTTTCAAACAAGGCAATTTTTGTTTATTTATTTATTTTTTTTTTTTTGTTTTTGTGGTAATATATACATTTTTCATAAACGAAAAGTAAAAAAAGAATAGAAGAACAAAATTACCAATTAGAGAACTCAAATAAAATATACGTACGGAAATAACACATACTACATACATATGTAAGTGTTCAATGGGGACTAAGTGGACTGAGAGTAGCATAAGGGACTATGTGAGGGGAACTTTTTGGGTTTGGTAAGAAGAGGAAATAAGCATTAATGCAATAATCGTGGTACAATGATCAACTAAATAGGTATAACTTTTTTGACATTAATAAAATATTGCATATATTTTTTGATGTAGAAATATGACGAAAGCGTTTCCAAAGTGTTGTATATGTGCAACACCTTTAAACGATGTACATTATTTTTTAAAACATATTTTTTTTAGTCTCTTTGATAGATAAGCAACTTAAGGTTCAAAACATTTTTGTCTGAACTTTATTTTTTTTTGCCAATATAAGCACTGCTTCACATAAAAATATATAATATACTATAAATGTGTATATATTACTATTTTTAGTGCCATAAGATAGTCAACTCAAGCCAACTAGATACAGATAAGTTTGTTTTATAACCATTCAATACATAAAATAAGTTTTAATTTAGAATTTCCAATTTTAATTGGTGTTAGTGTATAAAAAGTGTTAAAAATTCAACTTTTGGGTACACAAATATTTCTAAAACCTTAGTGATCGAATTTCTTTAAATTCTATTATGAAAATGTTAACAACTTGGAAGAGGAAAAAATACTTTTTACGAGGAATAACAAGATGTTTAGAGTTATAGAATTTTTATGATTTATTTTTTTAAGAGATTTTTAGGGTTTACCTAGTAGATTACATATATTTAGATAAAACCATAAATGGCGAAATCTAAAAAATTTTGTCAAGGATTGAGAATTTTTATTTACAGAAACACAGAATAAAATTTTCAGCCGAATCCTCTCATAATTCGATCTCCAAAAAAGGCACAAGCTATTTTAGAGAAAATGTTAAAAATACAACTCTTTTATTTTCAATATTTTCAAATTCTGCTAAATTCAAATTCTGTATAACGTTAAATTAAATTTTGAAATTCAAGTCATAAAATTTTCAGAGTTTCAATTGCTTTTAAAGTTAATTAAAATTCTGAATTTCAATTCAGTACCCTTTTATCACATCTCAAATGCCGAGTTTTACTTTCAATTAACGTTAGTAACGGTTATAAACAAGTAAAATGTTTCCTAATCGATATATTAACAATTAGTTACAAAAATATTTAAAGAAAAAAGGGCGATAGCCGCTTTCATATATCAGTAAAAATTGTTAAATAAAATTTTTCAATAAAAATGATGCAACACAGCAACAAATAAAACCTCCCAGCTGTGATGCCGTAAATTATATGAAAAAAGGAAATACACGTATGAGTAATTGTTAAATTCAAATCAATTAATCCCTTTCAACCAACAATAATACTAACTTCCCATTAATTTCACTTTAAATATTTGCAATTTCAGTTTTGATAATCAAATTACTTTACTGCACAAATTTACAATTTCACGCAAATTCGCATACGAAACGTTTAAAAAGTGACTGGCGGCCAATTAACGTCACTCATACGCCGTGTAGAACTGCAGGCAGCCAAGCGAATTACCAGCGTACAGCTAACGCGTCCGCAACAATGCTCTAATACTCCAGTGGTTAACTGTACGTATGCATATTTTGATGTATATATATATATGTGTGTATGCTTTTGTTTATGCATGTATAGTCGTGTGCGTGTGGTCGACCGCGCAGTGAAAATTTATTGACAGCTGCTGCAGAATTATTATTGCATATCGGCATATCAAATATTGCCCAAAACAACAACAAACAATAGCAATAGTAACTCAACAAATCAGTAGCGGAAAATCGTTGTAAAAATGTATGCATGCATGCACGAGATGCACAACATATGCGTATAAAGCATACACGAGTATGTGCGTGTGTTTGTGTGTGCGGGTGTTTGTTTATATGCCATTGTTTTCATGGATTTTTCAGCAAAAAGTTACGCAACAACACCACATCCATTATGCGCGTTCTGCTCCAGTTATGCCAATTGAAAAAATCTGTAAATCTCTCATGCTTTATGGCTCCAAAAATACGAAAATTACAGCAACAAAAAAAAAAAAAAAACAAAAAAAAAAAACCGACGCAATGAAACAACATAGAGTAGCAGCAAATTGCAAGCAATATATAAGCGTGTGTATGCATAGTCAACTATAAGTACATACACATATATATATATGTAATCATGCCAGTGAGATTTAGATTGTTGTAATTTATTTCCTTTCATTGTTTATATTTATATTACGAACACATATTTTGCCCAATTTTTTGGCGCGCATCGACGAAAGAAAGCCCATAAAAAGTGTTGAAAAACAAAAAAAAAAAAACGACGAAAATTTGTTGCAATCACACCATTACTCGTATTGTGTGGTGGTTAGTTGTCAGCGAGTTTGGCTGGCGTTAGTTGATTGGCTCAACCTGCCACCAACTGGCCGGTAACGAGTTATGCTGTTTTCATTTTTTCGCTTTTCATGCTCTAGCTGCCAATTCGTTTCGGTTTCGAATTCATTGTTTTGAAATTTTTTCGCTTCCGGAAACGTGCCCATGCCATATATGTATGTATGTACATGCATATATATGTATATATGTAGTTATAAGATATTATTATTTCTTTGCATTGTATATGTGTGAATATGTCGATATTCACTTGCAACATGTTTACACGATACAGCCCGCTGGTGTAAGTTGACGTTGGTGTTGCTGTTTGTTGTGAATTAGTGACAGTTGGCGCGGTAACAAGACAAATTTATATTTTCTTTTAGTTTTTCTCATATGAAACAACTAACACAAAAAGAAAATGTAGAAAAAAAGAAGGAAAAAAGTCATTTGTGCAACAAACACATATTTCCCCTCCTGCGCCCCTGCATGTTTGAATATATAACTCCAGCTTGTTTAGTCGCATAGAAACTGTCAAATTAGGACATGCAGTCGCAAAAAGTATGTTTGTAGCTGCCATAAAGTCGTTTTGACTATTTTTGTAGTTTGCAGGCGAAAGCATCCGGGTGGCAAGTTGTTGCTAGTATATACGTGTATGCCTTTGATGAAATGTACTTTTTTATTTTTATTTTCTTAAGAAATTTTTCAAAGCTAGTACTCATAATTTTCATCAAAAAAATTCGAACCCGATTTTGAAAATTAGTTTCCGTTTGCTTCTAGAAAATTCTGTAATAAGTAGCTAGAACTTGGTTGCCTCGCATCGTAAGACAAAAAAAAAAATCTTTTTTAAGAAGCTAGAAAATTTGTGATTTTTTAATATAGGTTTTTTGTTAAGTTTAAAAATTGTTAATATTAGTTGTAGTAAAAAAAAGTTCATTTTTTTCCAATAGATGGCGTTATTTATCCGTATCTTGGACTGTATAAGTTCGAACGGGTTGCGCTAGATGGCGTTGGAAAGATGACACTTCGTACTAAAAAAGCTTTTCTGATAGTTTTGTGATTGACTGATTCAGTTTTGTTTGAGCGTGCGTCAAAGATGGACAATAGTAAAGAGAAAATACGCTTTATTTTACAGCCAGGCAGCTGAAAATGTGAATAGCACTAACGGTCCTGATACTGTTACTGCCAATCATGCACAATTTCAATGTCGTTCCGGTAATTTTGATGAAAAAGATGTTTCACGGAGTGGACATTGTTGAGTTCGATCGTCATGTACGCACTGTTTCGATTGCCCAAGGGCTAAAGTTTACAACAGGAACCGTGTGGAACCATTTGCTGAATACGAAAAGAAAAAATTAATACCTTCAATTTCATGCAAAAAACAATGGATTTCTTTTCACTACACCAATATTTTAGAAATGTGCTAAATATTACCTTAACAGTAATGTATACAGTCCTTTTCTGTGCACTTGACAATTTAACAAAATATTGATATTTTAGCAAGATTTTTATCAAGCAAAAATTTATTTAGTATTCTGTATCAAACTTGATAAAACATAAAGCTTCAGTTTGTTGTGCTTTTCCCCACACCTGTGGTGGACAATGAAATACAAACAAAAATCAGCTGTTTGTGCTAACGTCAATTATTTTAGAATTAAAGAAAAGGTGAATGTGAAAATGTTCACATTTTGATTATTTAATAAAAATAGGGATGAAATAATGTATATCTGGATGTAGACCTTTCACCTTCACGTATGTACTGTCTACTGGCAGAACTATTTAGTTTATTTTACTTTAGTTCTTAGGAGGATTTAGGTTCTCCAACTGGCGTAAGAAGCTGGAATACTTTTGAGATAAATTAACTTAAGCGTTTTTTTTTTTGCATAAACATATCCTGTTTTTACATAAGTTTCTTCCCCTACTGATCTGGGTAATTCTATTTCTCCTCACTTCATCTTTACAATAAGTAAATTTCTGAAAAGAAACGACTGACTCATGGGCAAGTCAATGGGTATGAGCCATACTCAAAAGTGTTTGAAGCCACCAGCGCTCTTATGATTAAAGACAGTGAAGTTCATCTATGAGATGACGGCAAATTTCTCAAGTCAAACGCAAATTGTGTGAAAATGTGTTATCTCTTAACAATATATGTAAGTAAAATATGTAACTTGCTTTCTTACAATTTGTTATTCGCAACCATGCACAAACAGTAAAAAGATTTTTTATTTGTAAAAAAAAAAACTTTGTCAAAAACATTTGACATCTTGAAAATTTATCAAGAAAAGTGTTTTTTATTTGTTGACACAGAATAGAAAAATCTTGATAAATTGTCAATCTTGATAAATAAGCAAGATGTTGAATTTATCATGTGCACAGAATAGTTCTGTTAACATATATAAGTTCTCATATTACATTGAAAACAC